TTTTTGTTTCTTTTGATAAATTTAGTTTCAACAAATGGTGATGCTTAGGCCTTTCTTTAACTTCTTTTTCCTTAGTCATTCTTGAGTTCGTCCGATAAAAGTATCGCATTACTGCCTTGTTGATCACTTGAAAATACTTCAAGATGGGTGGAGTAGCTGGAATGAGTTAAAACAATTAATATTGGCTTTTCATGACTGGTCAGAAAATACGGAAATTAAGACTGGTTGAAAATATATACGTTTACGGTATGCAATTATTATTATTAATATTATTATTATTATTATTATTATTATTATCATAGACACAGGCTACTGTACAAATAATAACTTTATAATAATGATGATGATGAAGATAAATAATTTGCATTACAACAACAACAAAAACAATAAGAATAAAAGACAGAGCTGCCAACCTCAGCCAACTCTGATGCGTGAGGGGTGCTTACAGAGCCAACAAACTTCAGTATTATAACACTTTTAATATTATTTTTATCATCATGTATAATAACTATTTTAATAATTATGTATGGGTGTGGTCAATCTGGTGGTAATTACTGGTAAAGCAGAGATAGATCTGGTAGACTGGTACAAGTAAAAGTGACAGGTCATTGAGATGACAGGAGAAAAAGATTGTTTCACATGGACTCAGACTGGGAAGCGCCAGATGTGTGAGCTCTATTATAGGTCATAGTAGCCTTTTTGGCAGTCTTGATCACTTCCTTGGTAGGCTCGTATTTGAAGCATGGCTCAGGATTGGCTAGCTTTACCTGAATGATGCTTGACAATGTTCCGTCCAACATGAGACTAGGTCTGAACGAGGTTTTGTTTTTTGTTATGAGACTGAACACTCGTTCCTCTTCAGCATTTGAGTGAGGGATAACCAACACAAGCTGAGCCACTTTTGCTAGTCGTCCATATAAGAAAGTTCCATCAAGACTCTTGACACTACCTAAGTAAGCCCAGATCAGGTCCATTCTGTGCTGACAAATATTGGTCTCATTGTCCATAGTGATGACAGCAGATTCCCATACTTTCTTTGGTACATCCTCTCTATCAAGCAATTGAAATGAGGTAAATTCTTCTGAAAGAAGTGTCATTTCAGAAGGTGAGGTGAAAGGAAGGAGATTTGGGTACCTATGTGTTGATGTATGGCATATTGTATCACAATTATAACTCTTACCTTTGGACAAAGAACTCCACTTGAGAGAAAAGTGCTGTTTCTCTTGCATCAAAGGTGACAAACTTAGCACACTCAAGAACCTCATCATGTAGAGGCAAATTGGCAATGGAGTAAGAGGTTGCTTCTTCATAGAAATTTCTAACAGCTCTATAGAAATTGTTAACTTGTTGAGGGGAAATGTCACCCTCATCTAGTAGTTTCCGAAGCAATGACCTTGTGGAGAATCCAATGTGTAAGGCATTGTCTATGAACAGTGAATTATGGTAATAATTTAAGTTACAATATTAAGTTATGCATACCATCTAATTGATTTTCTCTAGTAGTATATGATACAGTTGTTAGGTGGTCTGCCTCTTTGATGGATCTCACGCATACAAATTTACCCAGGAGAGTCTTGAGGAATTTTATAAGCTGGTTAGCTACTATACCTATTATAGGGTCGTTACGTTGTAGCAACGTATTAAGATGGACAAAAGGTTGGAGACAAGCCTGATAAAAGTATAGGTAGACCTCTGTCATAGGGTTAGTGTATAGCTGACGTAATCTCTGGAATCTATTATTGGTCTCTTCTGCAAGGTAACATACTATAACATTATTATATTCATTTTAATTATTAATACCTAGAGAGGAAAAGTACGACCTGAGTCCTGCATACTGGGTGAGGGTTCACTCAACAGCTGTGCTTAAGCTTAGCCATCGAGTATTGACATGTTTAATAAGACCCTTGTATTGGCTGTCACAGAAAGTACAAAATTCGGCTAGGCCGTTCTTCCTTTCAGTACTTTTATCGAAATAAAAGTAATTATCAACAAGTAGGTCTTCAACATCAAACTTGGTAAGCTACAAATAAAAGGTGTATATAGAGTCCCGAATCATTTAAATGACATTACCTCTGCAAACTTGGAGGAAGCTTTAAGTGCAGTATTGTGGACTATGTGGCAAGGACAACCCATAAAATAAGTATTAGGGTTTTTCTGTAGTACTCTAGTCCTTATGGAGTTTCTCACTCCAAGGTTGACTGAGGTGTTATCGACTCCTGCACCAATGCAATGGTCCCAAGACACACCATTATTGGTAAAGACCTCATTCATTTTAGTGAATATTGACTCTGCCTTGCCTGCATCAACACCTTTTAAGGTATCATTACAATGTCCCTGTATTTGTTACCTACTTACCTGTAGTAAGACACATGTCCAGAAGATTAGTCACAACAAGACCACTCCCTTCATCAAAAAATCTAACTGTAAGGGGATTCATCTTTTCAAGGCCATTATCATTTGATCCATCGATTGCAACAGAGAATGGACTACACCTCATAGTGTCAACTAGAGTAGCCTTGAAGTGTGGTGCTAATGAGCCATTAAGGATACATGTGGTCTTTGTACGAGCTGAAGCGTAACCCTTGGCTATTTTGCTGTCTGTGAAGATCTCTCTGAAAAGTGGACTTAGATGATCAGTCACTGCCAAAGGGACATTATGTTGGACAAGTAAATTTGTCACTTTGACCTCAGCTCTAGTGATCTATTAAATATCAAAGTCAGTATATATTATGTTTTTGTATGTATTTAAAATTTACCTGCTCTGTTAATTCTTGGTTTACTGGCTGGAAGTTGAGCTTGGTATTAGCTCTAAGGCTTTTAGCATTTGATTTATGTTGCTCTGAAGAGGAATGCCTAACAATATCCGCTTCTCCCTGATGTCCACAGGAGATATTTTTGGAGCATGTAGTACAGTAAAATTGGTGAATGTTAGTTTTTACTGGTTGTACAAATGGCCATTTCTTTATCCAGGATTCCTGAAACTTAGTTTTATAAATTGCAGCTCCACTCCATCTCTTGCTAGCTGAAGTGCTACTCCTAGAAGCCTCTTCACTGTCATCCAAGTCACTCCTAGTTGACACAGTTCTTTTCATATTCAAAATTGTGGTTACAATATCAAAAGGAGCTCCAGCTGCAACAGTGTAGACTACAAGACTAGTTAGTAGACTACTGGACTCAGTGGACTGTAGCTGTCTTTAATATTATTCATTAAGTAATATTAATATTAATCATGACGTCATAATCATTAATATTTCCAATATCATTAATAATTATTTCCAATATCATTAATATTCATTTACAATCAATTATTTTAATTAAGTAATCGATAAAAGAAGGTGTGGCAAAGGGTGTGGGCTTCCTTCAATACTGGAATGCGTGAGTTCTGAGCCTTCTATGCGTGTGAGAGAGAGAAGAACCTTCAAAGAGTGAGACTCACGCCTAATGCGTGGGGGTTGGTAGGTCTGAAGAAGCATTGACAGCAGTACTGTCTGTTCTAGTGTTACAGAAGAGTAGTTATACACATACATGTACATACAAATATGACAATAATGTATAATACTGAGCAATAAAGCTCAATGAGTATAGTGTGTATGTAATGTGCTAGTATGTGTATTTTTAATTTTAATTTATGTATGTACAAGGGGGTGTCACTTGTATATATCCTGTGTTTCACCTGCGACCGCGATCAAGAATTTTGATCTTGATTATTCATACTTTGATGCTTTGATGCTTTGATCCTGACTACCTTGATCCTTGATCATGTTGATCTATTAGCCTCACAAATGGGAGGAGT